GGGGGGTTCAGTGTATGGGTGGACAGGTGGATGGATGAAGTAGATGAACAGGCAGATGGATAAGTAAGTGGATGGACAGGTAGATGGCTGGACAGAAGGAACAAATGAATGGCAGATGATAAGAAAGTGGATGGAGGGATGGGTAGAAAACGGATGGGTGGGTGGTTGTATTTATGGATGAGTAGATGGTGAATGGGTGGATGGTGGCTGGGAGTGCAGATGTAGGGGGGAAACACAGGCTTTGGAGCCCCCCAGAATTGGGTTAGAGTCCTAGCCTTGTAGACCTGGAGATGGATGGGCAGATGCCTACAGAAGGGTATTTCCTTCCTGATTCTGCCTCCCGGCTCAGGCACTGAACCTGGTGGAAAGCGAGCCCACACCTCATTTAGTTACTGCTCTAGGCGTCCTGTACTCATGCGGACAGTATTCTACATATGTCCCTCCACCACAGGAGGAGAGACTTGAAACAGCTAATTCTACTCCTTAAAAACGCTCCTGCCAAAAAGATGAGCTGAAGCAGCTGAAACCTCAGCTCCAGAGAGGACTCTGGTCATGACTGCAGCGTTCCTTCCTCTGTACCTTACCCAACCCCTGTCTCTTCCCTTCAGATCTTCTCCCTCCCTCCCTCCCCCAGCTACACACGTTCCATACCCAGCTGTGGAAGTTCATCCAGTCAAAGCCCAGCTCAAAGGCTGCCTCTTGCAGGAAGCCCTCCCTGATCCACCAAGATTTCAGCATTCATCTCTCCCTCATTGGGGCTTCCTCATCACTACGCTCAACTCTTTATTACAAAGCTTTTGAAGCTTTATTTTGTGTTTTAATTAGAGAAGTACAGGAGTCTAGAGGTAGCAATACTGGTTCTCCATATAGCCATATTTGGGTTATACCATGTTATTTTAAAATTCCAAAATGCCAATATTTGGGCATTTAAAACAAATGGTAATTACTGTTGTCTTGCAATATACCCAGAAAATTATGTAGCTTTACAATTGTAAACCAAACAATGATGTTCTACTTTGGAAGTAATCCATTTCCTTTTCACCCCCATAAGTGTTTTAGACATATGAGTTTTCCTGAGTTTTGATGTAATTTGCTTCCCCAGGGATGCCTGAGAGAATCATTTAGAATGGAAGGAAGGAAAGAGAAGGGACAGGGGAGGGAGATTCCCAGGCAATTCTCAGCCATTCCTAGGGAGTGTGACCATCTCCTTTCCTTACGCTAAAGACACCCCTTCCCTCCACCTTTGTCCTCTAGGTCCAAGCTCTGTCCTCTGGGTCCTGCCCCCTCCTCCTCTAGGACAAT